AATCATCTCCTTTGTCTTCTTCACATTGATGTGAAGGTTATTCTCTCCGCACCAGCTCTCCAGGTGTTCCACCTCTTGCCCGTAGCTGGACTCATCATTGTTTGTGATGCATCCCACTGTATGTATTACTGTATGTTGCTTGAAAACCCTTAAAAACTCCTAGACAAACCTATTACAATACAAAGAATATAGTTTTAAAACAATGTATTTATTAATGTTAATAGTTGTAATCTTTCTTGTCTGACCCCCCCACTGCCCCATGTATCGGTACACGGGTGCTTCAAGTAAATCCTAAAATGATCTTGAAGTTTGCTTTGTTTCCCTCCCCAGACTGATGAGCAGGCCATGCTTGAGGACACTCAGGTGGCTCTGATAGATCTGGAGAAAGTCACTTTCTGCTTCCAGCAATTTGAAGGAGAACCACTTGTTGCCAGTATGTACTTTAAATCCATAATCTTGGCTTTATCATCGCCCACTGCCCTAAACGATGGGAAATAATGCATTTGCACTCAGAAAGTGCCATATTATTTTGGACTATAAGGCGCACTGAAAATCCTTTAATTTTTTCAAAAATCAACAGTGAACCTTGTGTATTAATTCTGGTTGTGCTTACGGACCTCGAACCGATTTTATGTGGTGCAACTGAACAATGTTGAGAGGTATTGTGAATGAGTTGAATAAAGTTTGACTTATCTGACTGTTTTGTTTCGCTTAGTGCACCTTATAATCCGGTGTGCCTTATGTATGAAAACAGACCCGGTCATTGATATTGCGCCTTATAGTCTGAAAAATACAGTCATCATTTAATCTACAAGTGGTTAACGTTTACAGTCGACCAAATTACAACCACTTCATTTAGAAATTATTAGACTTGTTTGCCTTGATTAAATGAAACACTTTATTTTTTATTTTTTATTCCTGTTTCTTCTCTTTTGGCAGATATGCCCATTTCATACCAAGTGGAAGGCACCCGTCAAGCCTTGAAGGTCTGCTTCTACCTTGAGAGCTACTTCTTCCACCTGCTGCCTTACAGGCTGAGAAATGGAAGTGTCAAAATCTACCCTGTCCTCTTTACACAAGGTGTGGGATCAGTAACTGTTCATCTGACTGAAGGTCAAAGACACTTAAAGAGTCAATGTTTGAGCCAATTTCTTGATTCCTCTTCAGCACTGGAGAGTATGGAGGGATACTACTACAGAGACAACGTGTCCGTGGAGGAATACCAGGCTCAAATTAATGCTGCGTCACTGGAGAAGGTCAAACAGTACAACAAGAGACTGAGGTACGGTGTGTGACTGACACACACACTTCTTTGCTAATCTCAAGTGATGTAGCTGACTTTTTGATCCAATATAAATCAAGATGTCCTTCCTCCTCTACACTAACCGGTGCCTCAAGGTGATTGGCTGGGAGGTGCACGGTAGGGACTGTTTTGTGATTGGCTGTAAACCCACACGCAGCAGGGGGAGGCGGTGATTGGATGTGAGCACCCAGCACGATACCTGGTATGGCGCAGAGTCGCCGTACAGCTGCTTCACTCAGTCACTTTACACCCCGTCGCTTTTCTGCACTCGAGAGCCCCCTCCCTCTGTGAGCGGCCAGGTGTGGGGAGTTTAATGAAGCAGGAACAGATGTGAGGAAGAACTTTGGTTTATTCAACTTTCTGGTTTTAACAGACGTAAAATTGTGTTTCTAACTGAACCAGTTGTTATGACTCGGCTCAGGAAAAGGGGAGGCAACATTAAACCCAGGTGCAAATGAAAAGTGATTTATTATCTAGATGGTTAGGATTTAACAAATAAAACTGAACAAAAGAGGGTACTTTTACCATCAGTGAATTAGAAATGTGACTTTTAACAAAAGTTATCTACTAACTAAATAAAAGTCAACTATAGTCAATTGTATTTTGACAAAACCCTCTGTAAACCACATTACACTCGAGTAAAAAAAATAAAATAAATCTAAAGTAGGAAGAAAATTAAATGTTACAACCCTTTTAAACGAACAAAATATCAAAGAGCAAAGCTTTTAGCCTTAAACCAAAATCACTCAAAACTTAAAAGGCTTCTCACAAGAGACTTGCATGCCTACCTTCAGAAACTTACAATCAGTCCAACAATGGACACACAAAGACAGGCCTCAAAATCAAAACTCTGGACTGCAAACATTTCAACTAGACCAGGCAGAATCAAACTGACCCAAGGCCAAGTATTTTACCATAACGAAGCACCTATAGGAGTCATGCTCAGATTACCGTACTTGCCGCTGTAAACGTTGCACCGCCGTATAAGTCGCATCAGTCCAAATATGTCCAATAAAGTAGAAAAAAAAACATAAATTCATTGCTTCGCAATATAAGTCACATCAATTATGTGTCACTGCTGACGTGTTGCGTTTGTTACGATGACAACCCGGAAATGTGGGCCGGTGTTGTGCCAAAAATCCATTGGCTGCCAAATAGCGGCTGCGGGAGCGTGCACAGTAGGACTTGAACAAGAATTTAACAAGATTAACACTTAAAAACAATTATTTGTTTGCTCTACATTATAGCAAAGCTGTGTCTCAGTTGTACTTGTCCTTAATAAATGCACTTTAATGGTCAAATCAGCTGCATTTCACCTGGGCAGCGCGGCGAAATGCAGCTGATGTGACGTTTGCTCCAGGAGTTCCGTAGCGAGACGAAGGTGGTTTGGTATGGCAAGCCAATTGTCTCATTAATAACTACTTTTACTTATTAATGAGACACTTGGCTTGCCATATTAGTCGAGGGCCCTCTAGTGGCTGATAATGGTAGTTTTCAATATTTCCCATGTCAGAATGAATGAAATCGTCAGAGTTAGAGCTGGGCTTAAATAGACAAGACTGTTTTGTGTTTGGAGGAAAAGAAGATGAAGAATCCAACCAGGATGCAGATGGATGTCTACTGGGAGGAGTCAGGAGAGACCAGCCTAACCCAGATGTGTTACTCCACAGCTGGGCCAGCAAATCATTATCCTGCAGCTGCACACTTTTATGCAAACCAACGGCCCCGGGCCATAACACCAGTTTTGTGTGGAAGGATTAACGTTAGTGCCGGGGCCGCCTCAACACAACTAAATATGAACTTACCTAGCTGATCTCACATCAGAGTTTTTTTAATTCATTTGCGATATTTATTAGGCGAGCATTGAACTAGTTTCTGATGGATTGTGGGCTCAAAGCTTTTATTTGTGAAGAAATTTGCCATTTTTCTCATTTTGTAGATCGTTAAACACAAAAATGGTGATAACTCGGTCAGTTTTACAAATATTGAGTTAAAGTTTGATGTAGAAGTAGCTGAGAATCATTTACAACACATACTCTGAGCGTTCCTTCCCACATTATTGTTTGAAATTACATGTAGGGATTCACAGTTTTAGCAGAACAGCTACAACTTCCTCATATCTCAACATAAGTTTGTCTGTTTAAAACTCATGAACGAAAGGCAGCAGGTGACATGCATTCTTTCAAGAAATGCTAGACTTTAAACTTTAAACATTACTTCACGTTTTATTTTTGCTACCAGTTTAGTGTAGCTTAAAGATGAAATCGATGCATGCTTTATATGGCTTTTCTGGATTTTCTCTCGTTTTTATAATTTTAGGGTTGTTTTTAAATTGTGCTTGAAAATTTATGTCCAGTTTAATCTGTACAGACAAAACAAACCACTTATTGATTTAGCAGCAAACGGTAATAAGGAGCAGACGTGGCTAATGAGACGGAGGTATCGTCAGGCTGGTTGATGTGGGCAGCGAGGTGAGAGTGTGCTTCAGAGGAGCTGCTTTTCAGAAAACGCTGCTGCAGCACGACCGCAGCTGATCGTTGACGTATGATTTGTGATCACGCTCTGGGCTGTCAGGACACCCTCTGGTCTCACACTGCGCTAATACTGTAGTACAGCAGAGACAGTGATGTTAGGCTGACATACAGCTGTGCCGAAAGAACAAGTCTGCACGTGTGAAGAAGTTTCCTTTATTCCATAGCAGCATCGATCTGACAAGTCAAAAATACAATGATAATTTTATATTAGTTCCTTTTTATTCTACTGATTTTATTTACTTTATAAGCACCTTTAATTTTAATCAGATGCATTTAGCTAATTTTAGTGTTTGAATCAGATTCTCTGATAAAACTCCTTAACTCAGTTTATTTCACCAGTGTCCAAAATGCGGCCCGTGGGCCATTTGCGGCCCTTGGAGTGATTTTGTGCGGCCCACAACTGCAGTTTAAGAATGGTATCATTTTGTCCAGCAGGCGTAAGAGGTCGATGCAGACTTTCTGCAAATTAGTTGGCAATCCTTTTTTATATAATGTTTAGATTTAACAGCAAAACGGATGAAAAACAATCTTCTCAAAATGAGCAATATTAAACAAAATACAAACCTTTGGCTATAATCTTATTATTTTGACTTCATGGTACAAAGCACCACAAACCTTTACTGAATTCTACCAGAAAGGAGACTTTTGGATAACGATATATAAAACTTGACTAAATATTGTAGTTGATAAAAATCAAGAGGGAAACTGGACATTTTTACAAGAATATAACGTGGTATCATCTACATACGAGTTGATCAACTTTATCAAACCTTCTATGAATCTGTTGTAGCGACTGACAGCTGCACGATTTTTCTGAACTTTGATCAGTCTTTTGGGCCGTCCATGGTCCAAAAGATTGATTGACGACCTTTTAAATGGACACTTATACTCAAATTACACAGTTTTTGCTGAGAACAGACTAAAATGAACTTTCCAAACATAAGAAAACAACAAACATAGACCCACCAAATCAAATAAATTAAATCCTTTTTAATAAAAAAATATAAGCTTAGTGTTTATGAGGCTTTTAATGTTTTGGATCTTCAACGATTTAAAACTTTCTCCACAAAAATTAGTAAACTTTTGTCCTTTCTTCAAAATATTGTTCACGCTGAATTAAATTCACATTTTTGTAACCCACAAGTCCTTTCATCTTTATAGTTTTGGCCCACATATGAAAACGTTTGGACACACCTGATTTATGTGAAGTCAAGCATCAAACTTAAAGCAGAATGCAATTTTTGATGGGGTTTTTATTCAAGCATAATTTGGCTATATGATTTTTTAAAGAATTTTATTGGATGCGCATCATTTGCTGCAAGGCTGACAAAGTGGCTAGCCGGGTGGGCGGAGTTTGCGCTCCATCAGCCACCCAGATCCAATGGCTAAACCGGCTTAATTTTACCGTGTGATTGAGGTTTTGTTCTAGACGTGGTAAAATAAATCTTGTTTAGTTTTCAGCAGACTGTGGCCTCTCTCTGTGTAACAGCACGAGTAGTTTTTATTCGCCGGCTGGCATCTGTCTTTCGGCTGACCACAGACCAGACTGTGATGTCACTTGGCTCTCCATCGCCGCTCTCCAACCTCAGACACCTCGTTATGTTTGGAGCCGAGCCACAGCGCTGTTGGGTTAAACCAACACTGTGGGTCAGCGCTAGAGGCTGCCTGACAGACAGAAACATCACTGAACTGGATGAACTGCAGATTAGTGTTCAGAGGTTTCAAAGGATGCACGTGAGCGTCTGACACCCCCGAGGTACAGCTAATAAAAGCAGAGTTTAGATGGAATATTATTATAAAGGTTAAAACTAATATTTCTTGATAGAATGCACCAACTTGCATACCAAGTTAAGAAATATGATCTTGCATAATCTATTGGCACTAAGGATTTGCGTTAGTAATGACTCTCAACTACTACCACATCAAACTTTAGCTGGATTTCTGTCAAACTGAGTTTTATAACCATTTTTGTCTTCTCCAAGCTCCATTAGCTGTGGCAGCCATCTTGAAATAAGTTGACTTTAAATGTTGATCAGTTGTAGATGGACATCCAGTGATTACTTTCTAAAAGTTTCTTTAAAATCTCTCCATTGGTTTACAAGTTATTTTGCTAACAGTCAATCATAAACACCAACAGTAAATGCTCATTTGAAAAAAATTAAATAAAATCTTGCCCAATCAGTTAGTCCTCAAAGTATGTGTTACAGATGACTCTCAGGTATTACCTTATCAAATTTAAGCTCAATTTATGTACTATTACCAGAGTTATAAGTACTGGTGTGTTTGATACTTGTGATTAGCTGTGGTGGCCATCTTGACTGCAGCTGACTCAAATTACTCAATTGTAAATGGGCAACAAATCATTACGTTCAGGGTGTTTCATTAAAATCTGCCTAGTGGTTCATGAGATATTTTGCTAACAGACAGACAAATGAACACACACAT